ACGAATTTACGGAAAATTAATTAACAAACGGAGACGTAACAATATCATTTTAATATACATATTTTGAACCTAGAAACCCGAATCTACCAACTAAAAGTCACCCGTGTTTAAAAGTAAAATAAAATGTTGTAAAAATATATACATGTGTGCGTGTGTGTGTGTGTATGTGTATATATAAATGAACCCCATTCCATGCAATGTGTGTCAACTAAGACCATCGAGGTTTGATAGGGCATTTTATTTTCTCAATCTCGAACAGCAGGCTTCCTGGTACTTCAGCAGTAAGTTAGTATAAACGACTGTCTTTTCGTGTGCGCAAGTAAATACACTGCGCTTTCTTTTCCAATGCAGAACTCTCACTGGAATGGGTCAAGTAGACGATTATTTCTTTTCCAATGCAGGACTCTCACTGGAATGGGGCAGGCAGACGATTATACTGCGCATCATTGGAAACTTTTAAAAAAGGATAAAGATAGATAAACCAAGAATCAACTGTTACTAAAACATAGAAGCTGTCACAGAAACAGGATTAAATGACCCTCCTAATGACGAATCAAAATTGAGACCCTCAGCAAGAGCCGTTATACTGTCGCAGAATTTCTTTTTTTTTACACAAAATGCAAACCTGGTGAACGATTTAACATAAAACCTAAAACGTGTCTCAAAACCAAGAAAAATGGCAGAAGTCCACAGAAAATTCAGTCCACATATTGAACACATTAATTGAATCCAGTTTAAAAGAACACTAAATATTGTTCAGGTACTTTTAAATACTTGTTTTGCTAGAAACTTTTACGATACTATTAAAATGAATTGTTTGAAAACATTTCTAACTGTATTTAGTACTTTTAACACAATAAATTAGTTGAAATAGGACGTAGGGAAGAATAACATGCTGAAAGAGAATTAAAGTTTCTTTCAAAGATGATATCCAAGTTAATGTAGAGAAAACGATGCCATCTCTTTTGGCATGTTAAATCTTCAATACATCCTATTCTAATACATACAATTGAACATTTCCAAATACTCCATTTATGACCTATCATCACACTTATTGTCTTCAAAATTAACATGGTATTCTAGGTCATAAATCATATTTGTGTTTTTTTAGTTTATACAGAGGAAAATGTCTTGTTTGCCAAGAATTAAAACTTTTTTTCACACATACGACGTGTTACGGCTAGATAATAAATAAAACAATAGAGAGTTAGCTATGAAATGTGGCTAAATTGCTATTGCCCTAGTTACACACTGCCTGGGCTATTTCCTTTGATGTCACATGAACATTTTTAGTGGGAAAGATTGCTGTAGATGTTAGCAGTAATGACAGAGGGTGTCAGGTAACACCTCAAGATTATAGTTTCACAGTTTTACATTTGGAATAACCAACAGTGACATTGGTATTGCGTGTGCTTTAGGAGACGTTGCTATTGTATTTTTTTATACATTCGTTGTACTCTCCCAGTCTTATTTCAGATCTTCCTTTGGATCATTTGATGATAGCTCTTTTTTAGAAAATGCAATTTTGGTGTAGTCGTACAATAGGTGAAGACGAAAAATATTATATTTACAAGGCAAACCAAGCAAGGAACAAATATTATATCATAGTAATACATTTGGCATTCCTAGTTTCACTTACTTGCAGCTCAGATAAGAGTAGCAATCAAATTAGACAGAAAATTTATTACTGTGTGAATCTGAATCTCTGATTCTGGCTTAGTTGAAGAAGAAGAAAAAAAAACACAATGTAAAAAAGAAGTGAAAATTAGTATACTTATGGACAGCACTTCTCTTTAAATTTGGCATGCCTCAGTTTAAACATCAATATTGTTTTATTTTTATCAAGATTATCTATTCAACTTGGATACTAATGCCAGTTATAGTGGAATTAGTTTGTATTCTCACGGATTTATGATGGTATGGACATGTAATTAGACATACTAGTCATTTGCTAACAACCCTTGAATGTCAATACAGTAAGAAAAAGAAGGAACTCTACCACCATTACGTGTTTGGTACTTGACCTTAATTCACTGAAATGGCTGATAAAATGAAAAAAGTCAAAAACGTATTACTGAATGTACAGTTGCAATGGTGCAAGAGTGCAATTGTACTGTATAAACCACTGACTAGATCAGCATGCTGATAGGTTATCCTCCAACCAGTAAATTCGTCTCTGTAAAACAGTAAAAACCATTGCAGCACAAGTGATGAAAAACTGTACAAGCAACTGAAAGACGTGAAGAAGTAGCATGGGTTCTATCATACACCCAACCGTGGTAAAAATTTCAGGAGGACATGAATGTTTATGAAATCCTGTGTGCTGAAGATAGCTTGATACTTAAACTATGTTGCCAAAAAGGTAATGTACAAATGTCAATACTGGTGCCTCAATTTTGAGGAGGATATAAAAGATACTTGAAAAAGTTTTGTCCAACTCTCCCCTCCTCCCGGTGTTTGTGCCTATGAGTTCTATAGAGGTTGAGTACGTTATATTAACATTTTTGAGCATTGCCACTTTGTTACAATCCACACTGCTACATTCAGGTATGTTCTATCTGACAACCTTGCATTTTGAAGAAACGTCCTGTAGCGTAATTTATTTTGCAAAAGTCTCCATCATAAGGCTGTCATGTCCAAGGTGCACTACTCCTTTTTGAAAGTTTTCCATAATCCACCTAGTGTAAGAGAACAATAGTTTCTCATTGCCCGTATCAAC